TGGGTGGGGATGGGAATAGATTGAACAAAGAACATATATGCATATATACAATAGCCCATGGACACAAACAAGTGTGGGGAAGACCTGGGGTGGGCAGGGGTTGGGTGGAGGGGAGAAAAGAGGGATGGGGGATGGGGGACATCTGTAATACTGTCAACAATAAATAAATAAATAAATAAATAAATAAATAAATAAATAATAAAAAGATTACTTTCACTATATGGTGATAGGAATAGGCATTCCCTGAGGAAGGAACCAATATTTATTTTATTTTATTTTCATTTATCTTTAATACAGATTGATTTTTCCCTTAAAACCTTCTTAAAATAAAATGAAGGGTAAAACTGATATATATATATATATATATATATATATATATATATTTTTTTTTTTTTTTTTGCATTTATTTTCAGATAGAGCAGAAGGGAGAGAGGGAGGAAGAGTGAGAGAGAAACATCAACGTGAGAGAGACACATCGAGTGGTTGCCACCCACATGACCCCAACTGGGGTCAGGGACAAACTGCAACAGAGGTATGTGCCCTCAGTGAAAACAAACCCAGGACTCTCTGGTCCGTAGGCCGACGCTCTAACTGCTGAGCCAAACTGGCCAAGGTTGATACCATTTCATAGAAAGACATACAGTATGAAGTCAAGAGACCTGAATTCTAATTCTGTTTCTAGTAACTACTTAAGAAACTAAGTTATTAGCAAAATGATATACATGGAACACCCTCTACATCTTCTAATCAATGTCTAAATTCTGTAATTTCTTTTATTAAGAATGCAAAGCATTTTATTTGCAGATAAAGAAATAAAAATGATTTTCATAACTATCCATGTAAAAATCATAGAATTTAAATGTTTCTTTCCAATGGAAATTTTAATTTTACATGAGATATAATCTTATGAGAGTGATAGCATTGTTGTAAAACTTTGGTTGAATCATCATGCTACTTTTCAAATAATCATTGTTTGTTTGCTCTTTGAGAATTTTTTTGGTAATATTACTTCCACTACACAATAGTAATAGAAAACAAAACCATCTGTAAACATTTATGTAATACTATACTTACAAGTATAATTTCCAGATTATTTTGAATTCATAAAAGTCAAAGCATTTTAGAATATACAAACTCTTCTAAATTTGTAAATAAAAATGCAATAATCAATTAAAAATTGAATAATACATCAACAAATATAAATAGGAAAATATGAGATATAGCTTAAGCTATGAAAATATTAATGAGCGCTCCACTGAATCTTCTTGCCTTCATAAGATAATAAATCACTTAGCTCTTTACCTAATACTGTAATTTTAGGCGTATGTATGTATGTTTGTTTTCCTTCTTTCAAGATTTTGTTTTTAATTTGTCTAGAATTTTATTTATGTCTATTAGTTTACATAAGATAGTTTGCCTATAATGTCTGGATTTTACTAAATGAAACAAATGCATCACTTCATTTTTAAAATTGTATTTTTATTGCGGCAAATAAGACTTTCTTTTTTTAATTCAAGTTGGAAAATAGTTGTTATCCCAAATTCCAAAATAATGGAACTTGTATTTAGTTACTTTTACTTGAGTAAAGAATTTAAGCAATTATTCGCAGGTTTTTATTCTTTCTGGTTCTCCCTTGCCCGGTTTCCCTTCCTCAGCCCACCCCCTTCACCACACACAAGTCAAGAAATGGTTACACATGGAACAGTCAACTAATAGCAGTCTGTTGGTGAAATAACTATATCATTTCCACAATTTTAAACTACTCTTTACCAAGGTCATCTTCTGATTCTCATTGTTCGAGTTCTTAAATCTTAGCAAGTATCACCGATATAGATGCCCAAAGTTCATTTTAACTTTCTTTAATGTTGGGGCAGTTGTCTGTGTTTGAATAGAAGAAATAAAAATAATAGTCAAGATAAAAGCGATGAGTACCTAGAAGGGAAAAACCGTACCAGTGCTAGTCTTCTTAGTTTTAGGACCCACTGTTTGTATTTTCCAGTGTTAATAATCATGATAATTAAGTTAAAAAGTGACCATTTTGTTAAGCATATGAGACTATAGTTCTGAATTTTTGGTTAAAGGTTTTGGTTGCTATAAAAATGTTATTTTGTATTGTATTGTAAGATTTTATATTGTAAGACTAAAAACATTTTTTTTTCATTTAATTGGAATGATTCTCAAGTTTCTGCAAATAGGGTAATTGTAAATTTAAAGAATTAAGCATTTTTTGGTGACAAGTGTATATATTCCTGTTCCAAGAAATATAATAAGTGAAGTTGAAATAAGTACTTTAGAATTTACCGTCTTGCCAGTGGCTTCACGGCTGATCTCTTGTATTGATCAATTAAGTCAAATAAAAATGATAAAGAGTAAAAAAATATTACTCTTTCCACTGCAAACATTTAATTTAGACCTATATCATCCTCTAGGTGGCATATAATTATACACATTATAAGATACAACTTACTGATATTCAAAGATATACCATTGACATATTGGTATGACTTGTTTCCCAAGTGTTATATTTAGCTGTTTTGCAGAGCCTTAATAATGACAATGACATTAAATTTAGGCAGAATTTGGGTTCCGGCTCACCAAACGTTCTTAACAAAAATTTCTGCCATAATTTATTGCAGATTATTTCCATTCTGACAGACAATTCTGAGACTATTTTAATATTGCATGTACCCAAGCATACATTCTTACAGAAGAAATGAGAAATTTCTGACATTGTTTAGAATTTGACATTAATTAACATTCTATGAGCATATGTTGTCTTGAAGTCATTATTTTCACAATTATGGGCAATAATTGATCAAAGTCAGCATTGCTCCTTGCTTTCCTTTTTGTTCAATCGGGATGTATTTTTCCAATACAGATTCATTACAATTGGACATATTGCATATAGTAAGCACTCCCACTATTGTCCAAATGATAGAAGCATTTAGAGAAAAAATAAATGATCTTTTCATTCAGCTCATAACTTATCTATTACCTATCCACCTGGCATGACCAGTGTGACCATTTCCAGTAATTGTAAGGTTAAATGCTAAGTTTTGAATATTCTTCTTAATGAAGCACTAAAATTTACCAACTAAAATTTCTGAATGCAGAAAACCAACAGTAAAGTTATCACTCCTAAACCCCTCCTGACTTTGGATGCAGTTCTCCACATTTACAAACTAATCCTTGTCAGTGACTTGGTCACTGCATTTTTGCCTATGTCTACAAAGAAGGGAAACAAGACTCAAATAGTTGCAGTTAAAACAAAATTTTTTAAAAATCTTGACATTGTAGAAGGCACAATTTTAAGGCAATCCTCACTAGACAAATTCTCTAGATAATAGCTCAACTTTCCTTCTCTATTTCTTGTATAGGCAGAAACTTGCTCGTTTAAGGTGAGGAAACATACATCTCTCTCCGTCAACCGTGAGAGCAAAAATGACAATCTAATCCCTACTTCCTTAAAATTCTTTAAAACAAAAATATTATTATTTAGCAGGATATTTTTATTTACACACCACATACTCAAATGAGGGCACCTTTTAAAGTTTCTGACATATATTTCTGCATATGTTATCTGCAGTGCTTAGAACACAGGCTCTCTGACCAAGGGTTCTATAGAGTAAAATGTGCTGAAATTAACAATTTAATCAATTATTTTAAAAACTAATTAAACTGTGCGGGGGTAGTTTTGTTTCTAAGATTTCAGTACATGGGGAATCAGGAGTACACATTTTAGTATTTAAATGGTCTCCCCCTGTGCTCACTCCTTCATTTCCCGTAATCATATTCATTCACTGAACACAACTCTTTTTCTCTCAAGCCAATTAGAAATACCCAAACGTTAAACATGGTTTCAAAAGAAAGGTCTGCTGCTGGAAGAAAACTTCTACAGAAAGACTGGATGCTAAGACGCTACACAACACCCGAAGCACCACGACAGTGCAGGAGCTTTTTAGTGCGTCTTTGATCCTACTGTATGCTTCCGTTTAGCCACTAAACCTAAAGAAAAATAGGGGCTTTGGCTTACTGCAAATTTAAAGAAGATTTCGAAGAATAAGTTTGGTGCTACTCTATTCACTTTCAAGAAAAAGCTTTTTAAGAGTTGTTGAGCTTTTGATCGTGTTGTTGCTAAAGGAGATTCATCACCCGGTCAGGTTCATGGTTCTCAACCTGGAACTGAGACCGATTCCGGAATTGCAGGTAAATAGGGGCGTTCCTTGTTACTAGCTAAAATGCCTCTGAATGAATACAACGAATATGAAAGACGTCAATGGCTGTGCTCTTTAAAATAACTATAACAAAAAGTTTAGTCGCAAATGGTTTGTTTTTGTCTTCTTTCATGCCTTCTTATACCCTAAACAGCCCAGGTGCTGAGAGGCACACAAAGTAACTATACACAAGCCCGATCACCGCGTGTCTGTGTCAATTTCCTGAGACGAATGTCAGAAAAGCTTCAGAGGTACCGTGGTGCCGAGGGATTGGGGTCAGAATTCACTGGGAGGACCAACTGCTTTGCGAAGGAATACGGCGGGACAGTGGGGGCTCTCGGGCCAGGCTTTGGAAAAAGGGAAGGTGGGTCACGAGCGGACTTCGTGGAGAAGGCTTTGTCAGTGCGAGACCGGGTGAAGAGTGGCAGATGGTGGCGTTTGCGTGCTGGCAGAAGCGGGAAATCAGAAGGGGGAAACGCGGAGGCGGTGAGGACAGAGAGGACCCTGTTTGGGGTAATGGGAGGGTCGGGACCATCCGCCGCTGCTGCCAGTGTAGGAGCTGGAAGTGAGGCGAGACCGCGAGCTGCCCGGGAGGGAGGGGGTTCAGGTTGCCAGCAGGTGGAGTTGAAATCAAACAGCCCCTCAGGGACCACGGAGCAGCCCTCCCGAGACCTCCTGCCTGGAGGTTGAGGAATCACAGCAGGTGGTTTGGGGTACAGCCTGAAGCAAAGACCTCTCCGCGCTTAGCCTCGGCGCCCGACCCCCTGCGCCCTCCAGGCTACTCACCGGTCCTGGAAGAAAAGCGCCATCCGGGCGCACGCGAGGGTTGCGCGGCGCAGGCGGCAGGCAGGGCCGGGCGGCGGCGGCGCTGTCCTAGGCTCGGGACTGGAGCCGGGGGACACCGAGGTGGAGATAGCGGCGGCGGGGGCGCAGGGAGCCGCGGGCGGGGAAGGCGGTGGATCCCGAGCTGCTGCGCGGCGCGCGCTCTCTGCCCATCACCGACTCCGCTAAAGCGGCTACTGCTACTGCCGCTGTAGGGGGAGGAGGCGAGGGGGAGGGGAGGAGGCACGCGGCTAGGAGGGAGGGGAGAAAAGGGAGGGTGGGGGAGAGCTTGGAGAGAAGGGGAGATGATCACCCCGAGTGGAGGGTAGGAGGCGCGCACGGACCCATCAAAGGTTCCCACCAGAAGAGCTCTGGAAGGAGAAATTCAAGACGAGATGGGTCTCTTCCCCTCCCCCATCTTCCCTCCCCTCCCCTAGTTCTCCCTTCGCGCCCTTTCCTTGGGATCTTCCTCTCAAGGCTCAGGCTGGGGGTGTTACCCAGACTCGGCAGCAGCCCGGGCTTCTGCGCGCTGGAAAGGTTGCTGAACCCGGGAGGCAGCCGCGACAGCTCTCGGCGCCACCGGCCTAAAGCACCTGTGCGCGCACACGCCGTGGACCGCTCCATTGCGGCGGCTCCCAGGCAGGGATCTGCGGGCCGTTGCTCCCCTTCTCTCCCCTTTCTGGTTAGATTATGATCAAGATTGTACGTGTATGACATCTGCGTCGTCCCTCTTTTGCTGTCTGTTTCCCTGGGCTCTCTTTGGCACAAAGTGTCCGGCCAGAAGGAGCCAGCAGGGAGCTCAATGCAGGCCACCATCGCCTGCCCCCATTGGAGCTGCCTGGTCAGAGGTGGTGGTGTTTGTTTGCCGCCGGCTTGACCATCTAACGTGGTAAAAACGAAAAAAAAGAAAAAAAGAGGGGGGGATCCTATGACCCCATTGCCTAGGAACATGGCACAGGGGCAGTCTGTTACCTTATGTTTTGGTTCTCCTCTTCCTTTATCCCAACATCCTAGAAAACCAGGACAGGACTTAACACGTTTAATAGAAATCTTTCTCAATCTTTTTATTGCAGAGCTTAGCTTTCATGCCAGTTCTTCTAGGGTTGGCCTTGTGTTTCTATTGTGGATTTTCTTGGCTCTATTAGACTAGGAATTAGTTCTGTTTATTCGCAAACTACAGACTCCCATGAAAATTGATACTCTATTTAGCACTTATACACTCACAAGATAGAGAGGGTGAATCCACACTTTCAGTAAATATAAAAACAATGGGCATTAGTGACTGATTTCCCCGAACCATATTTTTGTTTCATAGTCTTCACTTGGTAGTTGAGGGTAGGCAGGGAGCAAGTAGGTTATTTGTGTAAAAGATATGATTGGGGGGGAGAAGCAGTAAACTCTCCTTAAATAACATAATATAAAGTGATCCAATAACTCTCTGTGAGCACCCTAGAGGGAAAGAGTTTCTGATTTTGTTTTCTGTGTGCTTTTATTTTAGTAGTCCTTCAGTTACTTGTCATCTTTAAAAATCAAAAAGATCTTGACCTTTAGAATAAATAAATTAGGCATTTTATTTTAACTAAGTATGTCTTATATAACAAATGTACTTAAAAAAATAGGTGCACTATTGAGAATGGTGCAGTATGGAGAAATTTTTTTTAATCCTCACTCGAGGCTATTTTTTCTATTTCTCTTCAGATAGAGTGGGAGGGAAACAAAAGGAGAGAGAGAGAAATGTCGAAGTAAGAGGGACACATTGACTGGTTGCCTCCTGCATGACCCTGGCCAGGCCTGAGGACCAATCACAACCGAGGTACGTGCCCTTGGTCAGAATCGAACCCAGGACTCATTGGTCCACGGACTGACGCTCTATTGCTGAGCCAAACCGGCCAGGGTGAAATATTTGTAATGTAATAAATCATACTCAAATATTGATGAAAAGCCTCTAGCTCTTCCAATATACATTCACATGAGGAAAAAAAAATGTTGGTGATAAAGTATTACTTAATTGTCTATGTATTTTCAACTTGCTAGAATCTTTCCTGTGGAGTATATCTGCCAATGGAAATATTTGGTTTCACATCTACCTGATAATCTGAATGACAGAAACACCTCATTAAGAGAACAGATATCATACACCTCAGCTTTAAAAGGCATGTGCTACTCTCTCTAGATGTTGAGCATTGCACCGTGCAAATTCTTCACCATATGCTATTTTTTCAAAGAAGACCATAGAGGGAAAGTGGTTGGTGAAGACTCTTAAGTCTTCCCAGCTGTGACTATATTATAGCAGGAAGCAGTAAATTTTTCTAATACTAGTGGTTCCTCGGGCAAGGAGTGGTTGCTAAGAATTAAATCTTCATTTTCTCGTTCCTTCTTTGCGAAGGTTATTTGCCTATGAGAATGTGTGCTGTTTTCCTCCTATGTTTGGTTATGACACTGTAATAGCAATATTTCTATAGTCTAATTTTACAGATGTAAAAAGGTAGAGAAAAAAATGCTAACTCAAATGTCTTAAAGCAAAGAGAAGGGGTGGCATTTCGAGTACTGAAAGGTGAGTAGTAACTTCTACTCCCCAACCACTTGGCCCACCAGAGACAAGAAACAGTGGGGTGATAAAGGATGGAAGGGGCTTCAAGTTCTCCTGCTGAACAAATTGGATTTCAATTTAGATTCACAGGCTGGGTGAAAACTTTTCTGTCACCTGTACCACAGCATTTTCTCCCTTTCATATTCTTTCCTCTACATCTCCATTAGTGTCATACTGTGTAAAGTATTGCAACATGGGAAGCCAAATAAACAAAATAAAAGGCTTCATTTTAAACACTGACCCTTTGAATGTACTTAGTTGAAAACAAGTTCTCACACTGAAATTTTCTGAAATCAGAAAGACTGAAAACTATATCTTTAAACAAATACTACACAGGTGCCAGAGCTAGTTAGCAAAGAAAATATTCTTCTGTTTATTGGACACATTTACTAAGCACCCTTTGAGGGCAATCTTAGGCCTGGGGGATATCAAAGTGAAGAAAATTGGTAACCGTGCCCTTCTGAAACTTAGAGTCTAATGAACCGATAACAGTGTTTTTTTCAATAAAAGAGATATTATGATGATGATAAGTTTGAAGCCCAAAGAAGAAATATTTATTAACTAAATTAAAGACTTTAACAAGATTATGAGAAAGCGAATACAGGTGATTAGGTTATGCTTATAACCAGTTCTTCTATGAGTTCTTGAGGAAAAGAGGGGAGAGAGTAGCATTTGTTGTAAAAAGAAACAATAGACATTTTTTAGGCCAGTGAACCATTTGATGAGCCTTCACATTTTTTTTTTTCTTTATTCGTGTTAGAGAGAGAGGAAGGGAGAGGAAGAGCGATAGAAACACCGGTAAGAGAGAACATCGATTGGCCGCCTACTGCATGCCCTCAACTGGGGATCTGGCCCACAACCTGGGCATATGCCCTCACCTGGAATCGAACCAGTGACCTGTTGGTGCATGGGTCGATGCTCAACCACTGAGCCATACCGGCTGGGCAAGCCTTCACCTTTAAAAATACATTTGCTTGTATTAGTGGGAAAAAACAGAGGATAATAAATGTCTTTCAGGTTGTAGAAACTGCTAAAAATTATATATGTAGTATATACTACATATGATCAGTACTGCTGACTACATGAACAAAGTCTGGATGAAGATGATGACAAAAATTAACAACTTTTCCTTTCTCCTGAAGAATATACCAACCAACAAGGAGAATTTTTTTTAAAAGGCAAAAAAACAACAACAAAACAACAACAAAACAACAAAACCTGCAAGTTATATTTTCAGTAAAATCAGGAGGTAGATAACTTGCAGTTTTCAAAACATGTGTACAGGATTCCAAAACTGCTGAGCTCAGTCAGAAGTCACAGAAGAGGAATTGGGGAGAAGAGGAGCAGATAGTGGGTCTAATGATATGTAATCTTCAAAAGCATTGATACAAATATAATTGTTGAAAGTGAGAGTTTCACCGTGAAATGCAAAGGCTCTTTCCCTTCTCTACAACAATGGATTCAGGAACTGAAACTGGGCTATAGCAAAAGGAAGAAAGGAAGAAGCCTGGATGGTGTAAAGAGAACTCTAGTTGTGGCTAATCTCACAACCCTCCCCCTCCCTCAAATGCTTCCTACAGTTGAATTACTCATCCTGATTTGCAAATCATATATGTCTTATATTATTCAGCAATCAATGTGGGAACTGAAGTGAGTAGAACTGGTGATAGAAGTCTTCTTGGACACATCCTACCTGAAGTAATAGTGGGCTAAACAAAGATTAAAGTAAGGAGTGATATTTGCAAAAAGCTGTCTATCTCTGAAGTAGCAGAGAAGACCAAAGCTTCATAAATCTCAGAGGGCTATTTTTCCCTCTCCTTTCCCCAGGAACCTAGATGAGAAAAATCTAAAGCTGTTGATTATGAATAATAAAAAAGATTAGCCACAGTATCAATACAAAAATAATACAGAAAAAGAGAGAAGAGCCACAAAATGTACCAATTGTTAAAGAACACACACCATAACAATGTTGACAATGTTGCCATGGAGAAGTTGAAAAGTTTGTACTAGCATTCTGCTATGAATTTCCATAAGGACACATTGTAGGAATTGCCTCTGCATGAGAACTACAAGGCACAAATGCAAGAACTTCAGGGTGGTTGATAAAACAGTAGAAGCTGATGACCCAAAGCTGGCAAAACTCAAGAAAGAAGTGGAAGAAAATTTTAATCATCCTAAATTAATAATGAATATGGAAGAGTTACAAGGTAAGGTACATACTCAGGTAAATACAGTAAGGACAAAAGAGATGAGAAAGGCTAGCAAAATGAAATAGAAATAACGAGTTAAACAGGATTAGACAGAACATAAAACATGGAAAAGATTGGCAAAGTTAATCTAACATACATAGAGAAACTGAAGAAGAAAAATATGGAAAATAATAAATATTTAAACATTTAATATTTCAAAAGAAACATATTTGAAAAAACTTTAAATTTTATTTTTAAAGGACATACTGATTTTTAGGGGAATTTGCCACAGAATCATTACCACCAAGATTTGTCCTAGTAATCATTAGCACCAAGATGTATCTTAGTACAGTAAATATAATTTAAATATAATAAAGGATTTGGAGGTACACAGGCAAAAACAATCAGTAAATTATAAAGGGGAAC